CGACTATTACTACTACTACTACTACTACTACTACTACTACTACTAATCTACTACTACTACTACTACTACTACTACTACTACTACTACTACGATTACGACTAGGACTACGACTACGACTACCACTACAACTACAACTACAACTACAACTACAACTACAACTACAACTACGACTACGACGACAGCTATTACTGCTGTTACTACGACTGCCACGACGCCAACAGTCACTAGTAATACTGCTCACGTTTACTACTTCTCACACTTTCGACTACTGAGACTTACCACTACGGACTCTTGCTGCTGCTGCTGCTGCTGCTACGAAGACAACGACGACGACTGCTAATGCTACTGCTGCGACGACAACTGCCACTAGTACTACTAACCTTTACTACTGCTACCCACTGACTACTACAGACATTTGCTACTACTAACTCTTGCTGCTGCTGCTGCTGCTACTACTACTGCGACGACTACCACCACTCCGGCTCCCACTCCCACTGCTTGTGCTACTGCTAGAACCGCTTTCGTTGAAAGTCATTTTGCGGATGTTGGTAGTTTTGGTCATTTGGGGAGGGGGGCAATGTTGGACTGCTTGCACCACTTGAACCACTTGCACCACCTGGCTTGCGCTACATGTACCAAGCCCGGGTGCGACCTGCACCAGTCGCACCTCTCTACCACTTGCACACCAAGATTACCTAAATGACGCCTCGTTTTGCCCCCCTCGGCGACCACTTGGCAAAACCTATTTGACCAAAATCACGATGTTGCTGGATGAACAAATCGGGAGCCCAATGCTGTCCCTGCACCCGAAAATCGTATTGCACATGCTTTAATTTGGTTTGCAGAGCTCCAAAACGTATTTTTCAAGGCTTGAAAACCTTTTCCAGAGCTGTTGTAGCTTAGCTGGCGTTCCGGGCCCTGCTCCTGAGGCTGTAATCATCTGAGCTCTCGAAGCCCTCGACCAAGCCCAAATGTGTTTTGGCCTTCGTTTCAACAAATCTTCCCTACACCCGAAAATCGTATTGCACATGCTTCAATTTGGTTTCCAGCTCCAAAACTACCACCATCACCACGACTACGACGACCTGTAGTAGTAGTAGTAGTAGTAGTAGTAGTAGTAGTAGTCGTAGTAGTAGTAGTAGTAGTAGTAGTAGTAGGAGGAGTAGTAGTAGTAGCAGTAGCAGTAGCAGTAGTAGTACTAGTAGTACTACTACTACTACTAGCGAGTAAAAGTAGGAGTAGTAGTACTAGTAGTAGTAGTAGTAGTAGTAGTAGTAGTAGTAGTAGTAGTAGTAAAGTAGTAGTAAAGTAGTACAATTATAGTTATACTACTACTACTATTACAACAACAACTACTACTACTACTACTACTACTACTACTACTACTGCTACCACCACTGCTGCTGCTCCCTCTACTGATGCCGTCACCATCTTCACCCCACCCCACCCTTCCGATCAGCACTCCACACCATCACACAACGCCGCCACCACTACGATGACGACCACTATGCTTCTATCCAGAGACAAGGACAAAGATTTGCCTTAAAATGAACTAACTGTTTATGGCTTCGACCTAGATCAGTACAATTTCCGAGGTCGCCAGCGTGGTGTTGCCAAAAGCTTGCGGCCAAGTCCAGATTCTGCAGAAGATCTTTCGGCCTCTTGTTCATTCCGTGTGCGTGCGTGTGTCCTGAAGTGCTCGAGGACCCGAGCCACATTCCATGACAGCTCAGTCTTTCCTGGAGGCTGGGGCGCGCAAAGACGAGGACAAGCCACCGGCGAAAGCTAAAGCTGGCGGGCGAAAGCCGCGCGCTTGGGCCAGTGCTGGCAGGGGCAGCCTTTGCGCCTGACTATGAGCCTTACGTACCCATGGCCACATGACCCAAGCTCTCGGTTCCTTTGTTTTCTGTCCTGAACCGAAGAAAGTGGAAGGCACTGCTGCTCCAAAACTTCGGTCGTTCTCCTTGTGAAGCCTTCAGGCCTTCAGCTGTGCCACCGCTGCGTTGGCCACAAGCACCTCCTGCTCCCAGTGAGGCCTTCTGACAACTGCGACTATTTATGCAGATGCTTGTGGCGATGCAACGTATCGCGAGCGCAGATCCTCTCGTGCGCATGGTTCTTCTCTAGTTATTTTGCTACTTGCTTCTCGGCTTTGGGAACAGCTTCCAGCCGGAAGCTGTACTGACGAAGAAATCTATGATGATGGTGATGGCCATGGTGATGGTTCATGTGATGATAGCGATGATGATGATGATGATGATGATGATGATGCTGATGTGACAGCTCGCAGTGTAGCTTGATAGCTTCTCTGTGCAAGTTGGATATCCATCACTTTGCTTGCTAACGAATCGGCGATCAATCCGGATGAATGCGCTGCACCCACGGGTCGGCATTCCTTCAACGGAGGTGTCGGATTTTAGCTTCTGGACAAGCGGACGTAACACAGCCCTCGCGGCCGTGGCTTGCTTTCAAGAGAGCATAATGATGATGATGATGATGATGATGATGGCCAAGATGATGATGACCACGATGATGATGGTGAAGATGACGATGTGAAGGTGATGGTGATGTGCACGATGATGATGATGATGATGATGATGGTTGTAGTTGTGATGATGATGATGATGGTCGTAATTGATGATGATGATGATGATGATGAAGATGACGGTGATGATGCTGGTGACGATGATGATGGTGATGATGATGATGATGGCCACGAGGATGCTGAATTGATGGTGGTGGTCGCCGTGCTGCTGGTGGTAGTCGTGCTGGTGCTGATGGAGGAGTGTGACGATGACGATGAGAACGAGGGTAATCAGGGTAATCTTACTGGTTTACAGCTCCATCCCATTCTTCGGGAACTCACACTGGTCAAAGCCATGTAGGCCATGCCGGATGGGACCCGGTCCTTGGAGGACGGGGTGAGCCTTTGAGATTTGAGTTGTGTTCGTGTTGTCGTAGTTGGGGATCCTAGGTCTCGGTATTGGTGATTGACTTAAGTCACAGCATGTCAAATCTTTGGCGTCGTCTGCCTGCTTGCTGTGCGGGCCACATGTCTGAGGCTTACAGATGAGCAAGGCAACGAATGCAGCCATAGAGCATGATGTACTGCAGAGGCATATTCCTATTCCTCATTCTGCCGTTGCTGTGGAGAATCTGCGCTTCCAGGCAACAGCCGAGCTCGGTGCGGAGAGGCTGCGAAGAGTCGCACAGGCGCTGGGAGCCACGTCAGTGTCAGGAACTCGCACAAGGCTTTGAGTGACTTTGAGTTGTAGGTGGCCAAAGGCAAGCCTGCTGGCCAGCACATGAACTAATGCAAAATCTGATAGAAATGGTTTGCTTGCAGGCATGACCTGTCACAAAGTTTGGTCTATGTCATACCTCGGTGCCTGGAACCTAGAGCTGGCCGGGAAGTCGGGTCTTTATCCGTTTTAGGACTTAGGACTTAGGGTTGAGAATGGCCTGCGGTCAGAGATTCAGCTAATGTGCAGGCCTCCACGCCACCAATGTCGCCACACTGAGCGCGCACGAGAAGAAGCCCAAGCTGTTCAACCTTGGGCAAGTAACAAGTAGGCTAGGATGCCTCGCAGGACATGTTTGAAGCATGTCTTTTCAACGTTTAGTTGTTTAAGTCCCTGGCCATTATGCAAGTCTTTCAACGACCACAAGAGCAGCGGACAAGTCACATTTGCTTCAAGGAGCTTTGACACTGAAGCCTCGTAGCGAAATGCAGCACGTGTTCCGGTTGATCATCGAGCCCTCAAATCATCAGAGACGCTAGAAGTCCAACTGAGTCAACGACGTCAACGAACCAGGAGCCCTGGCGAAGCCAGGCCTCCCAGCTAATGACTGCGGCAAGGGCTGTGTACCGGATTCTGGTCATATGTTCTTTGCACAGAGTGGATGCATGCACATGTGTGTTGGGCAGGCTAGTGAGTAGGAGATAGTATGCTTTGACCATCTTTGACTTTTGCATTGCATGTCCTGCAGCTTCTGCAGACACCGACAGACTTACACAGAGAGGCACAGACACACAGACAGTGTGCACACACACAGAGATAATGTGCATATATATATATATATGTGTTGTATGATTCATAAACTGACAGGTTTCTCACAGTTGTATACATGAGTTACTGTTGTATGCATGCACTCCTTTGCAAAGTTATGTATGCACGCATGCATACACGCGTACATACACATGGGTCCGAACAAGTATGCGCATGAGTATATACATTTCGAAAAGATAAGGGTGTAGGTTCATATCTGCCAGAACATGACAGAGCCCTCGCCAGCCGCGGTTTCACACGTTTTCTGGCCGTCATTTCAGGAATAGCCATGTGGCGAGTTCCCGCAAGCAAGAGTCGTGCATGGACATACTAAGCTGGCAGCGCGCCCGAATTGACAAATGGCTGCATGCTGGCATGGGTTTGTTCACAGTAATCAGTAGTCTGTTCTCGCCACGCTTTCTCACAAAGCGCCATTGTAAATGAGGGAACTGAAGTGATCCAGTGGCTTTCAATGCTTTCACGGCTCCCAGCATTCGAGACCAAACCCCCATGCTTCGTGTTCTTCTCGGCGAGTGATGCCTCTTCTCAGCATCTGAGATCCAAGCCGCAAAGCCGGTCGGTTGCTGTCGAAGATAATTTACATACATAATTTACACTTCTGGCACATTTTACAAGCCGCGTTTCGTTAGTGTGATTCGGATCGGATCCGATTATCCTCCTTGAGATTCTGAACCCACAACATCAACAGTGCTGGTTCTACTAGTCAATGTCGTGACGTGGCATATCTCAGGAGCCTGGTTATTATCCATTACTGCTACACAAACTCGCTGTCGCCCGTCCGATAGGTTGAGCTACACAGAGAAGCAGTTTAGGATGAATGCGTCTTGCAGTTGCTGACTTGGTCTAACCAGGAGGCCTCATTGGGGGCTACATCTTTTCTACTAGTAGCCAGTCCTGGCGCAATGTACATCAGCTGACGAACATCTATGCATGCATGCGAGAAATCTAAGGCAAACGCCGCTGGCCATTGCATGGCTAGCATGCCTTCTGCTTTGGGAGTTTACCTCTGCTGAGTCAGACTCCTGCAGGCCAGGAACGACTATTCTAACTGCTTTATGTTTCATCATAGATTCGCAGCAGCCTGTCCACGAAGCAAAGCCAGATCTGCGCGGTCGCAGCCCCCCCCCCCCGATCAGCCTCAGAGCATAACCTGTACAAATCCCTTCGGCCGCAGGTCGTCGGATGACACGTCGCTGATCCAGTTAGCTCCCAGCAATCTTAGAGCGCGCGTGAGCCCGTGCTTGAACCTCGCCTTCGTTTGGAATCCTTTGTTGTCAATCAAAGTTTAGATCTCAGGACTGGAGGAAGGAAGCCCGTAAGACTGAAATTCTCAGAACTGACCAAGGAATGCCTACCAGAGACTTGGCTCAACATAGAGCAACAAAACAACGGCTTGCTGTTCGGGAGGGACTGGGTGAGGCCTCTCTGATTTCAACTTGCTCGAGCAAAACATGGCCCGCATAGCTCAAATCAAGGCTTCAACCCTCCTGGAATCTCAGCATATTGGTCGCTAATTTGTTGAGGGACTGGCTGGGGTGAGTCCGCTACCATAAACCACGGCCCATCCTGTTATCCCGTACAAGTTCAGGGAGGCAAGCAGTGCAACTGTCGAAAAAGACATGAGTTGATCTTGGGGCTAGTTCCCACTCTCATTCGATGGTTGTTTGCATGCCGGTGTGTTAGGCAGTTGTGGGAATAGACTGGGAGCATGCACGGCTTGGGATGGAGGTGGCGAATCCTGCAGGGGGGTAATTCCCATGCAAGGCCTCATTGCAGGGACATTGGTGTACAGTTCGGGCTCGTTGGAGTAGATAGTTTGTAGTTCAACGTCTAGGACTCAGTCGGTGATTATGCAGGAAGAATGCTGATAAGTCTGAGGCAGTCTGTGCAGAGCGTCCTCTCTGACTATGGCGACCACGTTCTTCAGAGAAGCCGCCTGTCAGTGTTCACGTGACGGAGGTTATGCAAGATTATGCAGGCGCAATAACAGGCCCTGTTGACAGGCATATTGCAAGGCACGCCTGTAGCGCTATCATAACCACTGAGTCAGTAAGTAAGTGAAACTGTTCGAGTCCTGTGCTGGTGGGCTAAAAACTCAGGGGCCAAAATCCTGGAGTGGCCAAGAGTGTACTCGTCGGCAATGCTGCAAACGTGACATGAATACAGCAGCCAGACGTCCCAACCGTCTTCAGCGCACCGCGTGTAGCTTGCATCTTCTTCAAGCATGTGATCTCAGCGTGGCACTATTTTCGAAAACAAGACGCGCAAAAAGAAAGGGCACCGGCACCATGACACCATTCCCGCCATTGCTACAAAGTCCACGGGGTGCACGCAACAGGAGAGGGTTTAGGGTTTAGGGTTTTTTGCGGGCCGCAGGCAGCTGCTTCTCTCCACACAAAACTCCTTCTGCATCTCGCCAGGGTTCTGAAAGCCCCATGCGCTTGCGGTCGGATCCTTGAGTCTTCGACCACCACTGTATACCCATAGGCCCCATAGTAGTTCCTTTTTGTGTCTTATATTCAGGATCCTAGTCGGTAATCCCAAAGAACTTCTATGGGGCCTTGCCGCGTCTCTTCGCACCGTCATCAGCGCTGAACCCAGGTTGGGGTGGCTCTTCTGCACCTGCCCGGACGGGGCAAGCACCGGTCCTGGGAGTAGGCTTCGATGGCGCCACGTCGATGGCATTGGCCACCTTCTGCCGGCAACGAGGTGCAGCTTTTTTATGGTGAGAAGTGATAAGATATCCGTTCGTAGGGTTCACTTGACCAAGACGACAGCGGCGTTTCTGACTTGCTTGTTCTTCGCCTGGCTCATTGCTGTTGATAGCCTTGAAGCATCGCTCTCTCCTTTGGAGCTGAGGTCTGTCTGTGCTACATGCCCGTCCCGGACAGCAGTCTCACTGGATTAGCAGCTACCCTGCGCTCTATGGGAAGTACAAGTCTGCAGGCGGCCTGTGGACTCTGCTTTACAGCTTTACAGAGACTTGCGCATCTCACCCAGTGCCCGATGCCTCGCCGGAAGGGCTAAGGCTAAGATCTTTTCTGTCGGTGTGGTCGCATGAGATACGCCCGGAAGCCCTGACCTGAAGGTCGATGCAGAAAAGAGTTGGACAAGTTTGATTTCTCCCTCGCTGCCGGAGAGGGCTACAATGTCTTGTTGCCAGCTTACGGAGTTTGGAAATTTCAGATCGAGGGGCCTCGATATCTCACAAGGCTGCTAGTCGTCCTTGACCTGGCATTGTCAGTAGTGGAAGTTCGCTGTGCCGGAGCTTGCGGCGGTCACGGTAGCCGTGTCCGCCGGAGCAGTACATAGCATGACAAATACGCAAATGCTAAGCAGAGCCTGGCCCCGTGTGAATTCCCCAAACAGTCGAGCGCAGAAGGTTCGATGAGGCGGTGTCGCACCACTTCCTCGACTTTTTCTTCATTTCCCCTGATTCCAAAGTCCTCCTCGCTGTGCATCCATCTACGGAGCGCCAAAACCAGACAAGCACCATACAGTTCAGAAGCTTGTCTCAAGAAGTGGGCAAGTCGCGAAGTTACGATGCTGCTCCTTCTTGACTCGCCCTGCACCTTGCAACAGTCAACCTCGTAGCTGCTGTCGCCAGTCAACCCGAGCATCTGCATCAGATCGTATTAGCCTCTATTGGTCGGTGATTCATGCAGCTTGTGTGATACCTGATTACCACCGCCCATGCCACCGCCATCACTGCCGAGAGCACCACCACCAACACCACCACTACCACCACCAACACTGCTACCACCACCACGACTCGTATTCAGAACTCATACTACTTCCTGTGCCAATAGTGGTAGTCGTAGGTAGTGGCGGTAATGGTTTGTAGTAGTAGTAGTAGTAGTAGTAGTAGTAGTAGCAGCAGCAGGAGTAGTAGTAGTAGTAGTAGTAGCAGCAGCAGGAGTAGTAGCAGTAGTAGAAGTAGTAGTAGTAGTAGTAGTAGTAGTAGTAGTAGTAGTGATAGTAGCAGCAGCAGCAGCAGCAAGAGGAGTAGTAGTAGTAGTAGTAGTAGTGGTAGTAGTAGTAGTAGTAGTAGTAGTAGTAGCAGTAGGAGTAGAAGTAGTAGTAGTAGTAGTAGTAGTAGTAGTAGTAGTAGTATTAGTATTAGTTGTAGTAGTA